CAGCCTAGCGTCTTTGAGAACAGCATGTGGCTGGTAAGTCTGTGGGACATGCAGGGGTGTATCAAGGCCCCCCACGGTGAGGGGGAGAGAGGGGCAGTGGCAGGGGCAGGCACTGCCCGGGCAGGGCAGGGCATGGGATGGAGCCACGGGTGGCTTGTCCTGGTAGTTGGAGAGAGGGGGTGGCTCCCTGCTGCTGTGCACACCCCTGGGGGAGGCATGGGGGCATGTGCCCCCCAGATTTGTGCACGGGACAAGGGCAGGCTGCCTGCTGTGTGCTCAGAGCCAGGGACTGTGCCAGCCTCTTCCTGGTGGTGTGGGCTGGGCTGGGCTGGGCCTGCATTTGGGGTGGGCAGAGGTGGGGAGGCCAGCAGTGGTGCTGGGAGGGGGGGCTATGGGGAATTTTGGGGTGACTAACCCCTGCTCCCAGCATTGCTGCTGCTACCCGCCCTGCGTGCAGCTCCAGCCCAGCCCCCCACCAAGAAGAGGCTGGTGCAGCCCCTGGCTCCAAGCCCACAGCGGGTACCCCACCCTCACCCTGCGCACAAATCTGGGGGCATGTGCCCCCCTCTCCCCCAGATGAGCTGCCTGCAGCTGTGTCCCATGCCCCAGCCCCACCCCAACTCCCTCCCTCACTGTGGGGCCTTGATTTGCCCCTTCCCTGCCACAGACTTACCGGCTGGACTCTGCTCTGCTCTGCTCTCCAAGCTGCCAGGCTGCATTTTCCTGGCCATGTGCATGCTGCCATTGTGCACACACACACACCGTTTATGGGTGACATTATTAGCTACATCGGCCCAAAAAAAGCAAATTTCAGATGCTGTCAATTTTCCTTTTAACCGTGCCAATCCGATATCTCTAGATTCCTGCTATCATTGGGTTGGAAGAGAGGCTCAGCGTTTGCTTAAGAAAGGGACACTGTCAGATCAAATCTGAACCAAAATTCAGGTTTTGTACGAATGCATGTTTTAAAAAAGTGTGACCAATAGAAATGATGCCACATTTCTTTTTAATTTTAGTCAAGAGAGTTGCATAATTAAAGCCGAAACACCTGCCTTTGAGATGTTTGCAATCTGCCCCCCAGTGGCATTATGCTACATCAGAGGTTTCAAACTTTTTCTTATTGCGTACCCCCTTCCAGATTTACCAGCTGCCTATGGACCCCTACCAGCATACATTTTATATTTTAACCCCTTAAATGCCAATTATTATTATGAAAATTAAACCCTCCATTATGCAATTTCTCCTGCATATCCCCCAGAGATGTATTGCATACCCCCGGGGGTACATGTACCACAGTTTGGAAATTGTTGTGCTAGATCAGGATATCTTGAAGGGGGTATTGATTAGGAACTGACAATAGCCAGAAGTGAAGCTGATCTGTTTTCATTATCTTAGCTTAGATAAATGAAGAAAGTTAATGGATAGTATTCATGGCATCAAGAAAATTTAAGATTTGTATAATTCTTTGCAGTGCTAGCAATCTAATGTGTTTGTAATATAGCCTTCAGACTTTAGAATCTTTTACCTATGTTCTCAGCTGGTGTAAAATAATTAGTAGCATTGGAGTCAATGAAACTCTGCCATATTAAACTAAATAAGGACATGGCTCATGAATTTAAATTTGGCAATGTTCCTTTTAAATATACTATGCTGCTGATTCAGCATCTGTTGCTGCCAAATCCTCAATAGGATCAGATATTGACCATTTGTGTAAAGTGCTCCCTCTTCTATTGCACAGACTGGCTGGTCACACTGGTTATCCTAATATACATCCACATGCTTTCCCTCTTGAAACAGGTGGCGGAGTCCCATGATGATCAAGACATCTCAACAGAAGTGATTCCTGTCCCTTCATTTGCCTACGGTTTACAAGGATTACAGCACTCCACCAATTACAGTGTTCGTGTACTGTGCACCAATGAAATGGGCAGCTCCCCTTTCACAGACTGGATTTATTTTCAGACTCTGGGGTTAGGTAAGCAAATATCAGGAAAAGCTGAAATTATAATTTTACTCTATAATAAATTGGTCCTGAAAGCTCAGAAAGAACCATTAACTCTCTTCACTGAACACCTTGTTAATTCAGAAATGCAAGGAACCTGTAGATTATTAGTTTGCTTGCTGCATTGAAGGTCTCCTACCATCTTGCTCTCATTTGTCTTGAGGGACATGTCTTCATGGGATCGCTGCTGAAAAAACAGGCCCTTCTCATTTCTCGCATCTGCTCCAGTGCACTAAAGATTGGCTGCTAGGCAGGCAGGGCCAAGCCCAGGTTCTCTGTATTGGGAGAGCCAGAGTACAGGCCTGGAGTGCTTGGGGCTGCTTCAAAGCTTTCGAGGCCACTCCTGAACCACCTGTCCTGCCTTACTGCTATTCACTAGTGCACCAGAAGGGGGGAGAAAGGTGGGTGGAGCTTTATTTTCTCAGCTATGGTGCAAGTGTTTGTGGGTTAGCTGTACAGACATGCCCAAAGTGAGTCATGCTATTGTCAGAAAAGTGACTGTAAAATGATGTCTTGGCAGTTCCTACTTAAACTCATTCAGTAATTTGTTTACAAGTCAAACTTGCCCAATGTACAAGTCAAGCAGTAAAAGTTATAAACTCCAAAATCACCCTTGTGACTCATTTTGGTGTCATTTTGTTGATTTAAATGGAGTGATATCAGGGATGAATTTGGCACATTTGTTCTGCCTCTTACATCATTACTGGGAGGAAAAAACCTGCTGCTGGAATATGGCTGACACCCCTAATGATACATTACACAGAATAGAATCCGATTCACTCTCCAATAACTGCATTAGCCTGGTAGGCCTAATAGACATAATGACTTTTTTGAAGGTCTTTTATGGTAGTGGACAATGTAAGGGGCTCCAAAAGTTAGTCTATTGGACTTCTGTATGAATGGATCTGGGCCTTGGTAGTTCCCCGAGATCTGTGTGGGTCTTGCAAATGAGGAGTAGAGCTATTTAAAGGATTTCATAGACTTTAGGACTGGAAGGGACCTCGGAAGATCATTGAGTCCAGCCCCCTGCCCAAGGGGCAGGAAGTCAGCTGGGGTCATAGGATCCCAGCAAGATAAGCATCCAAATTTCTTTTGAAGGCGCTCAATGTGGGTGCTTGAACCACCTCCAATAGCAGGCAATTCCAGACCTTGGCGGCTCGGACAGTAAAGAAATTCTTCCTTATGTCCAGCCTGAAATGGTCTTGCTGGAGTTTATAACCGTTTGACCTTGTCATCCCTTGGGGCACCCTGGTGAACAATCATTCCCCCAGATCCTGGTGAACACCCCCGATGAACTTATAGGTGGCCATCAGATCGCCCCTGAGCCTGCGCTTTTCCAGGCTAATGAGCCCCATAGCTCCTCAGCCTATCTGAGCGTTTTGGTCACTTTATGAGCCGCAGCATCACATTGAAGGCTCATGTTCAATCATGGCCCCCAAGTCCTTTTCATCTGTAGTGCTAGTCAGCGTTGTACTGCTGAGCCTATAAGCGTGCTGCAGGTTTTTCTTCCCAAGGTGGAGAACTTGCATTTTTTGGTGTTAAACACCATCAGGTTCTCATCTGCCCGTTTGCTGAGCCTGTGACGGTCAGCCTGGATCGCCCTCCTGTCCTCAGGTGTGGATGATTTACCCCAGAGTTTGGTATCGTTGGCGAACTTGGCCAGTCTGCTTCTGACTCCAGTGTCCACATCATTACTGAAGATGTCGAACAATACAGGTCCAAGGACAGAGCCTTGGGGGACCCCACTAGTCACAGGGCACCATGACAATTGACTTCCATCAACCACCACCTTCTGGGTCCGACCACGGAGCCAATTCCCCAGCCAGCGGATTGTGGTGGACCCGAGGCCACAGTTGGCCAGTTTTGCCAAGAGGGGATCATGGGATACCAGATTGAAGGCTTTTTTTGAAGTCGATATATGACATCAATCTCCTCTCCCTTGTCCAGGTGATAGGTCACCTGGTCATAGAAGGAAATGAGATTGGCCAAGCAAGATCTACCCACAACAAACCCATCCTGGGTATCCCTCAGGATATTGCCGTCAGCTAGTCTGTTAAGGATGGCCTCCTTGATAATCTTTTCCAAGACCTTGCCCAGGGTAGAGGTCAGGCTGATGGGCCTGTAGTTGGCCGGATCCACTTTCCTCCCTTTCTTGAAGGTAGGCACCACATTGGCCTTCTTCCAATCTTTGGACACTTCACCAGAGTGGCAGGAGTTCTTGAAGATCCGTGCCAGGGGCTGGACTATGATGCTAGCCAGCTCCCCGAGTACCCTGGGGTGTAAACTGTCAGGGCTGGCTGACTTGAAGGTGTCCAGCCTCTCAAGGTGTTCCTTCATGAGGTCAGCATTGATGGAGGGCAGGGAATCTCCCTCACCCAGGCCTCCCTGTCTTGTAATGGGCATGGGTGTCCCATGGGACTGGTGGAAGACCGACGCAAAGTACCCATTTAATAGGTTGGTTTTTTCTTGGGTGTCAGTTGTCCCATCTGGCTTAGCAGGGGTCCAGTGTTGCCCTTGGTTTTCCCCTGGCTCCCCACATATCTGAAAAAGGAGTTTTTATTGTCCTTGATACTTGTAGCTAGCTGGAGTTCTGTCGCAGCCTTGGCTTTCCTGGTTTGCTCCCTGCAGGACCGGACCAGTGCAGAATATTCTTCCTTGGAGGTGGATCCCTTTGTAGGTCTTTCTTTTTAGCCGCAGGAGATCCGCTAGTTCCTTGGAGAGCCAAGGGGGCTGCTGAGCCCTTTTGCTGCCTTTCCTCCGAGACGGAATAGCCTGAGCTTGTGCATCAAGGATCGCTCCCTTGAGGAGCAACCACTCTTCCTGAACTCCCCTTCCCTTAGGGTTGTGGTCCCTTAGGGCCTCACCGACAAGCTTCCTGAGCTTGTCAAAGTGAGCTTTCCTAAAGTCAAGGACTTCTGTATTGCTGAATGACTTGCCAGTTTTACAGTGGATGGTGAAGGTGATCAGCTCGTGGTTGCTGTCGCCCAGCTTCCCATCGATCATTAAGTTGCTGATTAGGTCATCCCCGGTTGCCAGTATCAGGTCAAGCAGCGCTTTACCTCTCGTTGGCTCGTAGACTTCTTGGGTCAGATAGAGGTCATCCACACATGAGAGGAAGCTTTGCAACCGCTCGGTTTTAACCAAGCACTCTTCCCATAAAATGTCAGGGTAGTTGAAGTCTCCCACGACAACCATGGACTGGGAGCATGCAGCCTCAGCCAATTCCCTGGCAAACTCCTGGTCAAGCTCTTGACTTTGGGTGGGAGGTCTGTAGTAGACTCCCACCATCGTGTCCCCTGTACCGTGTTCCCCACAGATTTTAACCAAGAGGGTTTCCAGTTGTCTGCCCTAGTTGCCAGCATCAGCTTGCAGGGACGTGTAGCTCTCCTTGACATAGAGAGGTACACCCCCACCCCTTTTGTGTACTCAATCTCTCCTTTACAGGGTATAGATGTCTATTCCCATGGTCCAGTCATGGGTGGAGTCCCACCAGGTTTCCGTTATCCCTATGATGTAATTATTTGTGTTAAGCAGGAGGACAAGTTCCTCCTGCTTATTCCCCAAGCTCCTGGCATTCGTGTACAGGCAGGCAAGTGTCGCCTTGGGGCCCTTGCCTTGGCCACAGATTGATCCAGGGGTGGGCTCCCTTAAATGGCTAGGTCCACTGGCTTTGCAAGGGTTGCTCAGCAGGCCATTGGTGGCAGTAGTCCCCCACATCCTCCGGCGGGCTTAATTTAAAGCCCGGTGGAGCAGGTCAGCCAGTCTGGCTGAGAAGAGCCTCCTCCACAATGGAGAGAGGTGGGGGCCGTACTGCCTCTCTCACCAAAGAGCGGACTGTGGTCATGGAAGCCAAAGCCTTCCCGATGACACCAGCGCCACAGTCTTTGGTTCACTACCTCAATCCTCCTCTCCCTCCTCAGCCCATAGCCCAAGACTGGGAGGATCAAAGAAAACACCACCTACACCCCCAGACCTTTTAGCCCCGCTCCCAAATCCCTGTAGCACCTTGTGACCTGGCTGGGATTGCTCTGAGCCGTGTCATTGGTGCCCACATGGATAAGGAGCATGGGATAGTGGTCAGTGGGCTGGAGGAGTTTAGGGATCTGCTCCACAATGTCTCGGATGCGGGCTCCCGGGAAGCAGCAGACTTCCTGGGCTAAGGGGTCGGAGCGACAGATTGCCTCCTCAGTCCAACTCGGGATGGAGTCTCCTATGACAAACACTGTGTACTTGGTCTTGGGGAGAGCGGGGGCAGTAGCTACTGTAGAGCCTGTGTTGCCTGTGGGATGGTGAGCTCACTGTCTGCTTCCTCTGTAGGAGTGAGGGGCAGGAGCAAAAGTCAGCTTGCTCAGTAGAAGAACTAGAAACAAACCCTTTTTGCACCCCGACTCACCTCTTGTATGTTTCCATGGAAGGGGTGATCTGGGCATATGAGTATACGGCTCAATACAGTATGAATATCAGTCAGCAGTGCGATGCTGTAGGCAGTAGGGCAAATAATACTCTGATATGCATCTCCAGCAAAACCAAGGAGGTGATTCTTCCGCTCTACTCAGCACTGGTGAGAGCACAGCTGTAGTACTGCGTCCAGTTCTGGGCGCCACGCTTTAACAAGGACGTGGACAAGCTTGAGAGAGTCCAAAGAAGAGCCACCTGTATGATCTGAGTCTTATAAAGCAAGTCATGTGAGGAAAGGCTGAGGAATTTGGGACTCTTCAGCCTGAAGAAAAGAAGGCTGAGAGGGGACCTAGTAGCGGCTTACTGCTACACTAGGGGATTACATCAAGGGGTCAGTGAGCAACTGTTCACCAGGGCACCCAAGGGGAAAACTAGGAGTAATGGCCACAAACTCCTGGAAGACCATTTCAGGTTCAACTTTAGGAAAAACTTCTTCACGGTCAGGATGTCCTGACTGTGGAATAAGTTCCCTCCGGAGGTGGTGCAATCACCTACCCTGGAAATCTTTAGGAGGAGACTAGACGCATGCCTTTCTGGGGTCACCTGACCCCCAGTTGTCTTTCCTGCTTGGTGCAGGGGGGCTGGACCTGATGATCTCCCAAGGTTCCTTCCGGCCTTACAATCTATGAATTTATGGTTCCCATGGGTGCAAGGGGTATTTATCTGTGTGGAATGATTAACTCCCTATCCTCAATTTTTAGCTCCAAGCAGTATCCCACAAAATGTCCATGTCATCCAAGGAGAATCTAGCCTGATTTTGGAGTGGGAAGGAGTGGCGCCAGAAATGATGAAGGAAGATCTACTGGGGTACAAGCTAGAGTGGAGTCAAGACAATGTCACTCAGGTAACTGTTTCAGAAATAAATAGTGGAGAGACTAGCAGCTGACTTTTGACTGGGAGTGTTAAAATTGAGGTTTCTGGACCACCCTGTCTCTCATATTATTTTTCTCCCAGAGATGCAGCAGGGCAGTGAGGGTGCATGAGGCAGTACCAGCTGCTGTGGTGCTGATAATGGTGGCGTAGCCAGACAGCATTGTGGCAGCAGTTACTTTCGTACACCTCCCCAAAGGCAGCACCTGGGACTGCTGTCCTGGTCTCGCCTCCTCACCTCCCCATTATTTTTGCCCCTCCCTCCTCCTCAGCTATGCTACTTTCTCTATGCAAACAGTGGATTAGGTTTTCAGCTGGTGTAAGCCAGAATTGCCCCCTGGATTTTGCTGGGCCTATGCAGATAGACACCACCTAAGGATCTGGCTTAGTGTGTTTGGGCTCAGCCCTGTATTCTTTGCTCACCCCAAATGGCTTGATGTCCAAAAATAAATTGGTAAACAGAGTTGTTTGAAATTAGTGAGAGTTCTTTGTGTGCAGACGTGCTGTGTATGTGCATGTGGGGGGGGAGAATAAACCAGGCTGGTGGCTGTATTAGAAGGCAGGTGGGTAAAGCACCATCCTTCAGACTGATTGCTTGCTCTTTTTAAGGTTGGTTGAAGTCCAATTTTTTTTTTTCCTAATATGTGGAGATGGTAGCATTTTCCCCTGAAGACCAGAAGGGGAGAGGAGCAGCAGCTGCCTGCTCCCCACTCCAGAATCCCCAGCATGAGAAGCAAGCAGAGGGATTTGCCGGATATTTTTCCCCCTAAATGCCAGTGATTATCTAAACAATGCACATTATACTGCAAATTAAGTTAGAAGAAAGCTTTAACACGTTGTATTTGTTTGATTCTTGGCAGTTCAAATGGTCCCTGGTGAGGTGACAGGCTCTAGCAGGAGTATAATGTGCAGTGGACACTTAGAATGGTGCACATGCATGGCAACTGCCGCTGCTGCCAGCCTAGTTGCTACAGCCACTGCAGCTGTCCCAGCCCCTGCCAGCATCCCTGCAGCTGACTAGAGCATAGACCAGGGGCGGACAAAGTGGCAGACTCCATTGCCCAGCAGCACCTTTCTGTGTCACTGTGGTAGGTTTCAATGGAGACCCCAGCAGTGGTGGCACCATGACGGCTTGGGGCCAGGGTTTCCATGGAGACCGGCTCCAGCAGTGCTGGCAGGGCATGCAGCTGGGTGGGGAGCTGCTCTGGGGCTAGGATCGTGCAGCGGTGACAGTGGTCCGGAGCTGGGGCAGAGCTGCAGTCTTCTGCCTGTGTGCCCTGGGCAGGGGTATGGAAAATGCCAGCCCCAGCCGCAGGGCAGCTCCCCGCTCTGCTGTACACCCTGTCAGTGCTGCTGGGACCTGGTCTCTGGAAACTGGCCCCTCACTGTCATGGTGCCACCACTGCTGGGGTCGCCATGGAAACCAGCTGCAGCGGCGCAGGCAGGGGCATCTGGGAAATGGATCTGCCATTTTGCCTACCCCTAGCGTAGACCCTAGCTGTTGGGTCTGGGTCCAGATTCAGCCTCCATTACTTAGTTTTCATTGATCCTGCTTTTGAAGCTTACATGATTTATGGTAGCTTTTCAACCCAAGCAGATGTTTTTTCTTAAAGTTTATATTTGTTTTGCCAGTAGCCCTATAATGGCAGACAAAGGGAGAGGAAAATGGATCTATTTCTCCCCTCACATGCACTAGTCTTACCCCAGTAGAGTTCAGTTGCCTTGAGTGGGGCTTCTCCTGAACTGTATCAGTGAGAGTGGAAAACTGGGCCCAATATTGGAAACCAACTGGTTTCAGATTTTCAAGTGTCTGTTGTAAGGCACGTAAAAAGGATCTTTTAAACGAAGTTAGACGAACACCTCACTGGGGTCGTTTGACCCTAGTACTTTTTCCTGCCATGGCAAGGGGTCGGACTTCATGATCTTCTCAGCTTCCTTCTGACCCTACCAACTATGAAACTATAAAATTATGGACAGTACCTTGGTCATGTCTTTGTAAGTGAATCTTGAACATGAATGTTGTCCTGGAATTTGAGCAACATTAAAACAAATGAAACTTACTCTTCCATGAAAACAGGCAGTGTCTCTGCAGCATTTGAAACCAGCTTTGTGTGCTGGTTTAAAAGGGTAAAAACACATTTCTGTAGCAACTTTCATGCAAAGATCCCAGATATTTAACTAAGCTACATAGTATTCTTACAACCTAGGAAGATATTGGCCCTTTCAGAGACAGTGAAAGGAAAATGTAGAAAGAGAAGCCTAAGGTAATGATTCTCAGTCAGGATGCAACAGCACCCCAGTGTGCCTTGAGATCCTTTTAAGGGTGATACAGTGCTATACAATATTGGCACTGTTAGTTGTGCAGGCACCAATGCATGACTTTAGGGAGCAGCCCAGAAATTTCAAATAGGAACCTATAGTGTCAAAAACCTTCTGACCTACTGTGATCTTTCCAAGTTGTTTACAACAGAATTTATTAAATATTTCCCTGTGGTCAAAAGATGGGTCAAAAGTATGAGTTGGCATTTTCCAAGGAGATCATTGGGTCGAAAAAGGCCCATAGCTCTTGGCCTAAGTCAAGGGTAGGCAACATTTTCCAGCTGCAGATCAGAAAGACCCACCCTGGGGCAGAAGAGGGCAGGCACTAGGACCCTGCCACAACTGGCAGAAGGCATCCCCAGCTGCCAAATGTTGCCAAAGCCATGTGTATGTGGGCCAAATCTGGCCCATAGGCCATAGGTTACCAACCCCTGGCCTAAGGAAGTGTGGCGGAACCAGAACTAGAACTCGGGAATCCCGATTCCCAGCCCTAACTCTAAACTGCACAGAATGATCTGCTTTAAAAAAAAAAAATAGGATCATAAGAAAATAGGGCTGGAAGGGACCTTATGAGGTCATCTAATCCAGCCCTGTGTTCAATCCCTGGCTAAACCATTCCAGCCAAGTGTCTATCTAACTTGCTCTTAACAATTTCCAGGGATGGCAAGTCCAAAATAGGTTCCTCTGAGTATAGGTGACTACTCTTGTTTTCTGCTTTCAGGGAGAGATGATAGTGCTGGAGACAACAGCCAATCTTACAACATGGAATCCTCTAAAAGACCTCATCATCAGAGTGTGCATACTGAACTCCGCTGGGTGTGGACCCTGGAGTGACCCTCTAGTGGTTGCAGCTCAAGAGGTTTTAGGTGAGTAGCTGGATGATTTTGCTTTGTATTTGTTGATAACAAGCATAAGCTTTTAAGATGGCAATAGTGGAATCTCTGGGCCTGAATCTCTAGTTGAGCAGAACTGCTGTAGATGCAGAGTGTTTCATTTAAACAAAAATGGACTTAGGGATTACTTAAAGATGTGGCATAAGCAAAACAGCTCCCAGCTGTGCCCTGTCTTTAACTGATGCTGTGTGGGCAGCACAGGGACGGAAAAGAGAAGCAGAACGAGAGAGAAAGATGGGAGCCTGATGCTGCTTGCTTATGCCTTATCCATACACATTAGTAATGAATTCAATTAAATCAGTGCTGCCTTGTCCGGTTGCCCTTAATTGAGTTTTAAGTCGTTCCTGAGCAATTTTACTTGAAACAAAAGAATTCTTGTGTAGACAGTTGTGTGGACCCTGAATTCAAATCAATTTAAAATCACACATCAAATTAAATCTTTGCAATCCAGCATGTAGTCAGTGGATGTGGAAACAATTTACAAAGGAGTAAAAAGGGACTGGGGCTTTACCACATGTCATCTATTCCATAGTAGGAGCCCATGTACATGCTCTTACCCCTTGCTAAGTGAAAGCTAACTTGCAGTAACTTACCTCTCTTTCACTGAGGACAAAACTCTTGTTAGTTACCATTTCCTACAGGATAAGGGCATGCAAATAAATAGTCACTATAGAATTACTGATGCAGAGGAAGTCCTACCCCATTTTACTCTGCTATAAGTTGTTTAGATGACCATACTCTAAGTCAGGGATGGGAAAAATACACCCCATCAATTGATTGTATCCGGCTTGCAGCTGCCCCTGTGGCATTGTGGATGGGGCTGAGCCCCACCCGGTGCAGCCTGCACTGCGCTTCTGCCCGCACCCACCCTGTGCCTGCTGACAGCCCTGGCCAATATGCGTGGCTTCCTAGTGGAGCTGCTCCCACTGCTGCTGCAGCCTCTGGGTACTGCTTGGCTCCTCCTCCTGCCCCTGCTGCATTGCTCCAGGCAGCAGGTAATGAGGGGATGTGGCAGCGGTGGCCATAGGGATGCGTGCAGGGCACCATGTGCCCAGCCAGGAGTTGGGGGGGGGGAAGCTGCTGCCTTGTTTAGTTCTGTGACTTGGCCCCAGTACATGAGGCTCCAGCTTTAGCTCCCAGCTGCCTTCCACCCACCCAGCGCAATGAGCAGCCACCTGTGGGTGGAAGATGGGCAGAGCAGTGCAGTGCAGCCAGGACAGGAGGAGAAGGAGCCACTGGAGGCATGGGGAACCAAGCAGTACCTGGGTGGCCAGCAGGAAGCTATTCTTGTTGGCTGGGCTGGGGCCAGGGCGGTGCTGTTGGTGGATGTGGGGCAGGAATAGATGGGAGCGGGATGTGGGCAACCTCAGGTGGGAGCAGGCAGGGCTTGGTTCCATGCAGAGCACTAGAGGGGCAGCCATGGGCTGGATAGGGGTGGGGGAGAGGGCTGACCATACTTGCACTGCATTGCTGGGGGAGCTCTGTTGCATGTACCCTCTGCCTTCCCCTGCCCCCCACTGCCACCTCCCCGCTGGCTCCCAGGACCTAGTGCAAGGGCAGCCTCCCATACATATGCATACAACCCCCACCACACATGTGTGTCCACCTCCCCTGTCCCCACACACGCAATATACAAGAGTAAGATGTTATTTTGAGCTATTATGCAATTGCTTCTATATATACACTACTCAAAAAAACATAAATCAAGACAACAATTAAAAAAAAAAAATTAAATATATTATAGTAGGTGTTTGATTTCTCAAGTAATATTTTTTTCTATAACATGTTAAAATTTATATTTTCTGAAAGCTTTTGTGTGTGGCCCTCAACAGCTCACCAAAACTTAAGTGTCCTGACAGCCAAAATAATTGCACACCCTTGCTCTAAGTTAAGCCTTTACAACTCTGAATGTAGACAGGCCTTTATACTGGTATAAATGTGGGACAAAATCATTGCTGCAGGGGAGCAGATCCATAACTGGCGTAAATCAGCATGTCAATGGTATAAAGCAAAACTGTCCATACGGTGGCCTGTGGACTCCACGTGACCCATGCAGTTGTTTCAGTGAAGGATTAAGTTGTGCCTTATCAGCACAACCACTAGATCCACCATACTGGCACAGCTCCAGAACCCAGGGGTGAATGCTGCCTCCGCTCATACCCACACACCTTTGTCCACCACCAAATTCAGGATCTTGACTCTCATCTGGTGACTCAAACTGGTATCACAGGAAATGGAGGGGTGAGCGGCAGTGGTGTTCACCCTCTGCATTCCAGGGCCACACCAGTGCAGTAGCTCCAACAGCCATACTGACAGGCTGCTGCCCTGCAGTCTGGATTTGACCTGTGGGGCCAAATAAGTTGGGCAGCCCTAGTATACAACCATGCCACATCCTTGGCTGGTATACTGTGAAATTACAGTGGTGTAAGTACAGAATAGACCTAACCACAGGTCTTTCCATTGTCTTCCATCTCATCCAGTCCTTTACACAAAGGGGTATTGATCTTAACAGTGGAGACCTGACCCAGTGAGATGAGAAGGGCTGACCAGTGTAGGTTCTGCTTTGAAGACATTCTTCACCCACATCAGACTGTAAATCACTGTTCAGGATGCAAAGCAATGGGCCAACAGGCCTGTTCTGAACAGTGATGTCCAAGGTGGTTGTTTTTTTTAAAGGACAAAAAAGAGCTTTGTTTTTTACTGGCTTCAGTCATCTCCTGCATGCTGCTTCACTATTGTTGTTTGTTCTGTTTTTTTTTATAGATTTCCCCCCCCCCCCCTTCCCCCCCATTTTAAAATAAAATCTTGACTGGTTATAATTCAAAATGTGTTGTGTCAATCTGGTGATCACAAAAGTGAAGGAATAACAACATTTGAGACTGATCCTGAACTCTACTGGCAGTTGTATCCCTTCTTACAGCCATTTGATAATGAATGCTGTGGTCCTTCATGGCCAAAGAAATGTGGTCAGTGTCACAGGATGACAGAGGTCAGTGTCACAGGTCATCTATACCTTCATTATAGGTCTTGAGTTGGAATGAAGTTAGGTGCAGCTGGCTCTTCACTGCAGGTTGTGGGTGACATTGCTCTCAAGTCAGTCATTTTGCCTTCACTATTTGCACAAGTCTTTTCCACAACACTGGAGGAGAAAGAATTACCCTAAAGGCCTGGAAAATGTTACTGAAATTCAACAAAACTGGCAGCAGCCACTGGTGTGGTGCCTGAAGCAATGTTTAGCTGCTTCTTAATTGACAGACTGCCAGTGGATGGCATCCTTTTCAAATGGACTAAGATAACCCTAAAAGAACCCAGAATTAGTTTAGTTTGGTTTCAAAAACTGCTTTACCATAAAATTCTGCCTGATCTATGCTTTGGCCAAGGGTTGGCCCACAGCAAGCATAAGCAGCCATGGATATTAGCATCTGGAAATATAGCTTTGTTATGGAAATACTAATAGGTCCTAAAATAGAGAGTTGCAAAAATAATCAACCTCTGGTCCCAGCCTGTATCTGGTGGAAAAGTTGCTTATTTTCCAAAAATAGCAAATTATCCCTGGGCAGACTTTGCACAGTAAAATGCCAGGAGTGGTTTGTGACCGTCTCCCAGTACAGCAGTAGAGATACCCAAGCTTATATAAATAGTAAGTTGTGTTACTGCAGTGAGGCAACTTAAGCTCTGCTTTGTTCACATGGGAAACACAAAAAGGAGGCTGTAAGCTTCCAAGTGGAAACTTGGACAAATGAGTAGGAAGGAATATAAGGGTATTGTTCAGGCATGCAGGGATGAAATCAGGAAGGCCAAAGTTGCAGCTACCAAGTGACGTGAAGGATAACATGAAGGGTTTCTACAAGTATGTCAGCAACAAGAGGAAGGTCAGGGAAAGTGTGGGTCCCTTACTGAATCAGGGAGGCAATCTAGTGACAAAAAAAGCTGACATGCTTGCTCAGTGCTTTTTTTTATTTTAGCCTTCACAGGTAAGGTTAGCTCCCAGACTACTTCACCTGGAAGCACAGTTTGGGAAGGAGGTAAGCAGGTTACAGTGGTGAGAACAGGTTAAGGACTATTTAAAGCTGGACACATACAAGTCCATGGAGCCGGACACAATGCACCCAAGGGTGCTCAGGGAGTTGGCTGATGTGATTGCAGAACCTCAGACCATTATTTCTGAAGACTTGTGGTGATTGGGAGAGGTCCCAGAAGATTGGAAAAGGGCAAATATAGTGTCCATTTTAAGAAAGGGAAGAAGGAGGATCTGGGGAACTACAGGCTGGTCAGCCTCACCTCAGTCCCTGGAAAAAAACTTGGAGCAGGTCCTCAAGGAATCCATTTCCAAGTATTTGGAGAAGGTGATTAGGAACAGCCTGCATGGATTTACCAAGGGAAAGTTTTGCCTGACCAACCTGGTTGCCTTCTATGATGAGATGACTGGCTCTGTGGATTCGGAGAGATAAGTGGGCATGATATACCTTGACTTTAGCAAGGCTTTTTATAGTCTCCCACAACATTCTCGCAAGCAAGCTCAGGAAGTACCGGATGGATAAATAGACTATAAGGTAGATTAAAAAAACAAACAGACAAAAAAAAACAACTGGCTGAATTGTCTGGCTTAAAGGACAGTAATCAATAGCTTGATGTCTAGTTGGAAGCCAGTACCAAGTGGAGTGCCCCAGGGGTTGGTTCTGGGGCTGATTTTGTTCCATATTCTTATCAACCACCTGGAAAATGAGAGAGAGTGCATCCTTAGCAAATTTTCAGATGTTACCACGCTGGGGGGGAGTAGTAGATATGCTGGAGCGTAGGGCTAGGATTCAGAAAGATGTAGAAAAATTGGAGGATTGGACCAAAAAGAATCTCATGAGATTCAGCAAAGACAAGTGCAAAGTCCTCCATTTAGGCCAAAACAATCCCACGCACTGGTACAGGCTGGGGACCGACTGGCTAAGCAACAGCTCTCCAAAAAAGGACCTCGGGGT